GCGAGAATGAGCGTTGGGGACGGCGTGGAGGCGAGAAAGCGAGGAAGTGAGAGGGAATGGCCGAACAGCGATATAGTTAGTGATGTAAATCTACTCAGAGGAGCAGCCGAACGCCACCATGGAGACGAAAGTCACCGGACAAGGCCAGCCAAAACGTGTGGGACGCTGGACACTCGCTCAACTCAGGCAAACAGACGGTCAGTTTAGAATACACGTGTTTTTGTTTGAAAGTAATAGAGCTCTATGGTCACGTGTTTGAGAAAATTACAAACAAATCGAGACACAAGAATTTCTTAAGTAGGTGCCAATTTCAGATTACTGTAAAACAGCGCACCTATCGTTCCCCGCTTCGCATAACGTTTTCTCTTTCCAGCACAATGACTGTGTAAACATTACAGAGGTTGCCCATTTTTCTAATTTCTAGAGGGTGACAAAAACCAAAACGCCCCGTACAGATTATCTCTGATGACCAAAATGCAAATCTACAAAAAATCGTTTTCTCTGCAAAAGATGTTTCACGTCAAATAAGTAATTTTAGGTATAATACCAAGCCAAGCAGGATGGAACAAAGGAGATTCGCAGAAACTTATGACCAACTTTGGTACGCCACGAAACACAGCCACCCGTGTCAAAGCCGAGAATCTGCAGGTAATCAGTTGATGAGTACCCGAGCAAATTTCAGCTATCAGGCCATTCTTCTTACACTTTTTTGATAGACAAGTAGAAATCAACCTAGAATTTGAGCTAAGTCAACCCGTCTGAAGCAGAGAAGCGCATTTTCTGGTTTCATTTCCGTTCCAACTCTCGCAAAAGATCAGCAGATCTGAATGGCAGCGAAAAGTCGCCCATGGCTGCTAATCTTTTGCGCAAATTGTCGGGATTGCTCAAATTCTGTTTTTGTTTGATGCTCAAAGAGTTTTGCTATTTCTCTGCTGAAAAATTTGAACCTTCGTTAGTAGATGGAATTCTGAAAGGTCAAGTCATTATTTTGTACAAAAACAAGATAAGTAGCCCCACCCTCTCGCCTACTATTTGATTATTCGACACATCCAAGTGAGGGTAGTAAAAAAGATATTTCGTTCATAATTTATAAAGGTAACATAAAAATAAGCGTAATCAACGAAAACATTAATATGTACGATCTTCACCGTATTCATGATTTTCTAGGAAATTCCCGAAGAAATTGCCCAGCGCACACACGGTGAAGTACGTCTACAGTCCGGTACAAACAAATTCAGTTCGCAACGCGGTATGACTGGTTTCGGTACTGGACGTGATGTATGCCGAGAGGGTAAACACGTAAACACCAATCCATCCGATTTATCGGTAAGTCGGCAAATGATTGTGCACAAGCTGGAAATACAAGCTGTGAAAATTACGAACGTTGAGGCTTTTTATCACAATAATCTTGATGTTAGCGCGAAATCTTATCGCTAAATGAAAACTAGCAGAAAGCTAACCATGCTTCAAAAAACTTGAATAACTTTCACACGTCACATGCAAAAATCAGCAAAAAAAAGATTTTCTCGAACTTCTTAAAAACAAAAAAAAA